GTTGTTGACCACAGCCTCGCTGCTGTGTTATCAACAATACAAATGGCAGCTTGGCAGCAGCAACTGAGCAACAAATCTCCCATGAGGCAGAAATACATGTTTGAATCTAGTATAGTGTAGAGAAATAAATGACACTCCCAAGGTTATGTGAACAAAGACTTCCCATTTTATTTGCATTACACATGCTTTTATTGTTCAGATGGTGCTCTGTACACTTTATTGTGTTTATAATAGCTTTTGACTGCCATTTAAGTCTCTGATACTAATCTTCAGATCATCTTAACAGAGACTAACTTAAGCATCTGCGCTGGCAGGGAAAGGACCTTTAATATGGCGCATGGCTGTGCAAACAGATGTATCCTGGTTAATAAGTATTTGATAAATGTCAGTTATCATTACTCCCCGCCCTTTATTCAAACCATGATTTCCTTCTGGAGCGCTAGAAGTATGTTCGAGCAAGTGAAGAAGAATTATCTCTCATAATATTTTGGGGAATTCTTTTAGAAATGTACATAATACATTCTATGCATGAAAACAGCAAGATGCTGAAACTGAAACGTAACCCTGCAAAGTAAGGCTTTGTATTGCGGTAACTTTAACTCTTACATTACGCAACATAACATTTGGATAGTTGTGGGAAAAGGCTTTGTTGAGTCAACAAATTGCATAACCAAATATTGATCTATGGCGTATTTACATATTCCGTGTATGGATACTGAAGGTGCATGTGACTTGCCACAGGTGGTGCATGAAAGGGCCCCGCCTCTGCAGAGCCAGTGATGCAAATTGTGCCTCAAGAGCTATCATTTTACACTTGATCCTTTGGGCACGGAGGCACAGTCATCAGATCACAGCAGCTCTCTTACAATGACAACCAGACAGTTACTATCAGCTGAGGTGCACTGACAATAACGCTCAATAGGATCAGCCAACCAACTATTGCCACCAACATTGCTACAGCTATGCCCATTGCGGAGCTTTTGGGAGTCCAGTTCGACATGCAGCTCCTGTGGAAACTTAGTGTCTCTGTGGCTGCAGTGCTGCTGGTTTCTTGGGGCTACAGGTTCTACAGCTCCAGGCATCGAAGAAGAATCCAGCTCCATGTCAAAGACAAAGAGCCAGGAAATGCAACCTGCCAAAACTGCGAGACAACACTTCAACATCAAAGCTCAACAAAACATGAGACAGATGATGCGGGCCAGCAATCCAGATCGTTGCTAGCAGATTCAGGTGATGACCTGACATCTGACAGCTCCAAGGAGACACCAGCTGAGACTCTTCCACATCAGGTTAAAACAAGTGAGGATGTGTTTGCAACAAACGATGACCACGATACCAGCATGGATGAAGAGATAATCACTTATGAGAAGCAGGGACAGGTTGCCACCAGTAACGTTATGTTTGGATCTGCTCTGAAACTCCCTGATCCAACAGAGAGTGGGATGGTCAGTACAACGGGGCGGCGCTCCCCTTGCATTTTGCAGAAGCTGGAGAGAAGTGTGGGTGTGGGCCGAGAGTTAAGACAGGACCTGGAGAGCAAAGGGTCCTACTCCAGCTTCCTCTCCAAGGCAGAGGTCAAAGTGGAAGATGCAAACATAGTGCTAGAAGGGACAGGAGACCAGGTTGTGCGTGGAAAGATATATGATTACTATGTTGAGTCATCTTCTCACTCCATTACAGATATTAATACGGTACTCTCTCAGTATGAGAGGGACTTCGAATCAAAGCCAGGGGAGTTTGGAAGCCATGGCAGCAGTTTCAGAGAGTCTCCATCGTCTTTAAACCCCATCACTATTCGTGATCTGGTTTCACCACAAAGCACTGTTAAAGATGCCTCCTCGCCAGGGTGCCTCAAGTTGAGAAAGCCCCCAAAGCCTGTACTCTTACGCAAAGAGAGCTATCTGTCTGCAGCACAGGAGTCTGAGCTTTCGATCCCCTTTCTAACTTCAAGAGCCTCAACTCCAGTGACCCACTCTCGGGCTATAGCTGGTGATGAATCTGTCTCTGTTCACCCAATTATCAGTCCTGCTACTGACAGCAAAATCCTTAATGTGAAGGAGGGGATAGATAGAGAGACTGCAGAAGGGGCTCCATTTTTAGACTTTCAAGCAGAAATTCTTGATGACACAGATTTAGAAGTCTTAAAGAGTAAGCTTGATCTGGGTAATTGTTTGGAGACACTGTGCCTTGCTAAGAAACATGGCCAGACATCTTTGCAGAAAGCAGCCCTGGGGGTCATGTCTGATAACTACCTCCATGTGCTCAGGGATCCCAGCCTTTATGGGCGGCTAATGGCTGGTGAGCGGGAACAAATCCAGAGGCAAAGAATGAGGGGGAAGAGGTTTGTCATGGTTGCAGACATGGATCCTCAAGATTGGGTCAGCAACACTGAAGGGCGCAGAGCAACATCAGAGCAGAGGAGGACATCAAGTGCAGTGTACTATTATGATGACTACAAAGACACTTGGCATACACTCTGCCTAATCCCACAGGAGGTCATCTCTAAAGCCTGTGCCATGTGCACAATGGATAACTACTTATTCGTGGCAGTGGGCTGCCAAGGCACTGACAGAGAGATGACACCCTCAAAGCGAGTGTTCTGCTACAATCCTTTGACATCCATTTGGAAAGAGATCAGTCCTATGAATGAAGCCAGGCCCCGCTGCAAACTGGCAGCACTGGAGGGCTACATATATGCAATTGGAGGAGAGTGCCTCTCCACTGTGGAGCGCTACAACCCACGATTGGACAGATGGACATTTGTGGCTCCTCTGCCTAATGATACATTCGCTGTGGCACACCATGTGACAGTGTGCGATGGAGAGCTTTTTGTTTCTGGAGGAACTCTTAAATACATGCTACTACGCTACAACCCCAAAACTGACACCTGGAGGCCAAGTCTCATAGTCGGCACCAAATACAAGACTGTAGATATTGTGGCCGTGGGGAGATTTTTGTATCGGTTTGATGTTAACCCAGTCCTGGGTGTCAGTGTGTACCGCTACCATACGGTGGCCCGACTGTGGTATGAGTGCAGCTCCAATCGGATTCTGCATTGCCCTGCGTTTCAGTGTGTCGCGATGAATGACACAATATATTGTGTCAGCCGTCACTTCACCATGAAGTTCGAGGCTGATGAGATCTCTCCTGCTTTCATAGATGAGGATTTGAGCATACTCTCTGCAGCCAAGGGCATACTTTTCCCCTTTATTCTTTCACTACCTGATAAGAAGCCTCAGCAGACTAGTGTGTAATGAGGATTCAATTTTCCATTGATGGTAAGATTAGATTGTGATTGAGTATCCTTACAAGAGCATGCTTTACATCAAGTTTATTGTTGCCTGGGCGAGTTTTGCTTTGGTCAGGTTTATGTTCA